AGAGAGAGAGAGAGAGAGAGAGAGAGAGAGAGAGAGAGAAGCGTTGACTTGTAGGTCGGTACGTGCACGCATATATAAACTACCAAAGACATTTTTGTGCAATTTAATTCACAGTTCACACATTTTCAAGGGTTTTTGGAGGCCACGGGTGTGTGAATATTGCTAGCAGATACTACCTGATGCTCACTTTAAATTTGAATGCCTTAATTTCGACCTGTCATGTCGGTAATAGGATTTGTACCTTGGCCTGCCATGCATTGATGGTGCCCTGTTTGTTGAGGCGTGCAAGAGAAGGTTTCCAGGGTCCAGAGTACCAGCTGGAGGCTGTGGTGCTGGCTGTGATGAGATGGTCTTCAATCAGTCTGCTCTCCATCCCCAGAGGCACCGAGCAGCCTGAGGCGGGAGATCAGAAATGTCACATTTACAGGAAATCAAATATTATAAATAAATATTGAGTTTCAGGAGAAACTTTGCCACTTTGCGTAGTAGATTTTGTATATTTCGTGAATTTGAAAAAACAGATTCCTCATCGTCGTACAGTAACATCTTACCATCAAGCTCACAGCCGTAGAACTCCATGCGGACTGTGGCCTTGTTGTACCAGTCGATGGGGTGTAGCCTGATGAACCGTCCAATCATAGGAGGAAAGAAGGTGTTTCTTTTTGTCTCAAAGGCTTCCTGGTTCCCAGTGAATACCTGGTCAAAGAGGGAGAGACAGAATGAAGCAAAATGGTGATCACACACTTCTCTCTCAGTTTGTAGCTGTTTGCGTTAATCAAAAGTGACCAAACTTCTCCCACCTTCCTGAGGTCCCTGCTGTCGCCCTTATAGAAGATCCACTTCCGGCGGTCGGTGCTGTAGGAGATAGAGTACTTGACCACAAACTGGGTTTGGAATAGCTGCCTGGCTCCCTGCGTGGCCACCTGGCTGAGCACAACTGGCCTCTGGAAGTCCACCTGTACAAGGGAGATACATAAGGTCTTGCTGTCTTCACATAGAAAGCAAGTGCACATATGCAAACATACTCAAATACACACACACGAACACACTCTTATAACACAGACAACACATACCTGAATCCAGCTTTTGTTCTGGTCTGTGCTCCATGCGTTGAATTTACCGTTATTGTTCAATCTGGCAAGATGGGGCTCCCAGTATCCTTCAAAGATGGAAATATTGTCATTCGTCTTGTGACATGAAGTTTACAGCAATAATTTCACAAGTCATTGTGATTGCAGTAAGACTACAGTGCATACAGTTGGGTTCACACAGGAATGGCTACCTCTAGTGTTGATTGCTGTGATCTGGTCGTCTTTCACGCTGCCGGATTCTAAGCCCAGCGGGCGGTAGCAGTCTTGGAGGAGACAAGCAACATGTCAATTTTAAAACAAAACTAAAAGAGTATCTTTAAATGCTGCAGAGCTGCTCAGTTGTTTGTACCGTTATCTAGAACCAGAAAGAGGGTCTGCATGCCCTTCTGTTGGTTGAAACCAACTTCTGTCTCCAGCTGCCACAGGCCAGGTTTGGATGGGTACATCTCCAGAGTGGCAAAGCTCCCTGCAAAGACAGTTTGGTACAGTAATTACGTTGAAACATGCGTGCCTCTGCTATGTTGTTGACATCAAATATAGACGATAGCTATTCTCTGTGTTACAGTTTTAAAGGGTATCGGCGATCTAAATACTGTAAACTACTATTCAAAAAGAAGCACAAAAGCAGCAGAAGGTGTTCCTTAACAAACAGACATGATGTTGCTCACCAGGCAGCAGTGGGTAGACGGCCTGTCTGTAGCTGGTGATCTTCTTGTGGAGGAACGTCTGTCCGTGGAAGTGGATGCTCTGAAAGTCTTTGGGAGAACCCATGTTGATCAGGTACCAGCACACCAGCTGGTTAGTGTACATCCTCAGGCCCTTCAGGTTGTGTATGATGCCATTGATGGCTTGGGAAACATCAGGGAAAAATACTTTTTTATCATTTTGGTCAGGGGATGTTTTCTTCTGTAGCTGATAAATCTTGAATGCATGGAAGAAAACTTATTGGAACTTTGACATGATATAATTAACAGTGCATGCAGTAACTATGTATATATTATATCATTTAATCCACGCTAGTTGAAGGTACTTACAGTGGAATTTGAGGTTCTCCTTTAAGTTGTGGTCCATAGCTCTCCTTCGGTTCTTCCTTTGCATCATCTCGTGGTTCTCCTCGTAGTACCAGCTCTGCGACTCATCGAAGGTCATGAAAAGCAGCGTGAACTCCCTCATGTCTGGTTCGTTGTTGTCCAGGGTGCCCTCTCGACACACCAACAAAGGCCCAATCAAGCCAGAGTGGATATCCCTTTCCTAAGAGGTAGATATATAAGATTTAATATTGGTTCTTAAAAACTGTGAGAACATCCCACAACACACTACCACTATGGCACTTTTGCACATATCATTTTTATGGTTTGGATTCTATTTCGTCTCTGTATGAATGTCACGTCTATCTGTAACTTTTTGTCATATTGCTGTGTATATAAAGGTTGAATAATAATAATGTAATCATGTTGTTATGCTGCCACTAGGGGGAGCCACAGTCAGAGACTCGAATTCTAAACACAGTGGCTTTAATTTGTATTTGTAAAAAGCATTTCTACATACTAAACTTCTATCTAGTTAAAACACGGTCTACAACGTAAAGATTACTCACAGGATTGACACCTGAATAGTAGGCCCAAGTCCGACATTGAGACTCATCTGCAACTGGCCCAACCGAGGCAGGAACCTTCCATATATATGTGAAGGTGGTATTGGGTTGAACCTCATTGTCATATTTATACCAGTACTTAGAGCCATCCTCATAGGACAGACCCTCGGTCTGCTTGGTATAGGAAACCCCATTTGGGTGTAAGGAGAACGGACGCTTGGCTTTGTTCCTAAACACCACCTACAAGAGAAAAAGACACATTAGGGCTTTAAAGGAATAGTTACATAATTTGGAAAATTTGCTAATAAGTTCATTTTAATTTTCTTGCAGAGAGTTAGATGAAAAGATGAATACAACTCTCATGTCTGTCATGTAAATATGAAGCAAAAGCCGGTTAGCTTAGTTTAGCAGGGGGACAGCTAGCCCCCTGCAGGAAGATACTATTACACGATGAAAAGAAGTCAGGTACAAGAGTTGTCGTTTTTACATCTTGGGTTTTTGCACGGTTCAAACTATTGAGATTTAACAAGTTAATCAGTACATTTAAAATATGCTGCAGGACAGATTTTGTTACCTTTGGACGGAGCACGGCTAGCCATTCCCCCTGTTTTCAGACTTTGTGCTAAACTAAGCTAAGCTAACTGGCTATTAATAGCTGACGATATTAATCTTAATCTTATTTAACATTTGGAAAGACAGCAAATAATGTCAAACTATTCTGGTTTACATAAAACAACAATCAGACAGTGAATTCTTCACACAAAGAATATGATAAAATGTGAGATCCCAGAAGAGCTGTTCAGATTATGGCTTAGCCGTCTTACCATGATGCTTTGTCCAACCTCCGCCTTGATGACAGGTCCCAGGATGCCTAGATGCTCATCCATCTCTCCACGGATGTCAGGTGTGCTGAAGCTGCTGTCCATGTACCCTCGGAAAACCACCTTGTTGAACTGAGTTTCTCTGCTGTTTAGTTGTGACTTGTCTTGTCTCCTGTGGCGATAACAGGACCTTATTTCAGCTTTGCATGCATATAGATGTGTACCTGCTGTAGTCGTGTCTTTTAAAATGTCACCTGAGCTTTTTCTCACTGCTATTTCTGAGCTTACCTCTGTCCGTAGCCACTATAGTCCCACTCGACCTCCTCTGCAGCAATGAAATAAGTCTTGACATTCGGGCCTGAGAGTTTTAAGTAGTATTTGGTGGTGTCATCCAGGTTTAGATTCTTGATGTCGTCATGATCGCTGTAGGGGTCCATGTAGGTCACATACTCGTATTCATCTGCGTTCACATTTTCCACCTCTAGGTCTAGATGATCTGGTTCGTCCCCAGGAAGGTACAGCTCGTAGTCACTGAAATCGGGCCGGGGCACACCGATGACAATGGGCATGTTGATGAGCTCCATCTCATCATGGACGGGCTGCGGTGAAAGAGGTCGTGACCCGCGCGGGGTCATGCCTGGATTGAACCCACGAGGAGAGAACGGTTGGCCACTCCTGGACTGAGGTTTGAATTCCTTCCTCTTCTTTGTTTTCATGCCTTCGCCCTTGTTGGGCCATTGTCGGAAGTTCACCCTCCTGGTCTTCTTTTTCGGGGTTGGCGTTGTTTGAGGGGTTTCTCGCCCCAAATATTTCATCATGTCGTCAGAAATCTCCACGGTTTCCATTTGGTGAGTTCCCTCATAAGTCCAGTTGTGCCCCTGCGTTTTAACGGAGGTGGTTTTTATCGCCTCTGTTTTGTTTTCTGAAAGGAAGATCAGCACTTCTTCATTGATGTCTGAGGCACTTATCTCCTCAGAATCGCTCTTTCTTTCTGCATCGCTGGAGAGGGACAGATCAGTCTCATTGGAGAAACTTTCTGAAGAGGATGTGTGGTTCAACTCACCAAGATGAGCTGTGAGATTCTCCCTACTCTCTGAACTAATCTCCTCTGATGAATTTGATCTGGATACATTCGCTGTGACATTCTGTGAGCGCCCAGTTTCGAGCGGAGCGTGTGTTGCATTTTCAAGGCTGGAATTGGCTGGGATAGTCACAATGTCAGATGAATTCATTTGAACTTCGAATGAACTCAAATACTCTGGCTCTGCTGCGGCAATCAGGGAGTCATTGTCACTGGTTTTGTTGTCTGTGCTCTCCACCTCCAACTCTAAGATTGTAAAGTTGCTTCTGTCTGTGCTGCTGATGTTAACCTCTCCAACATCAGCCGTGGGAATAGACGATGAACGGTTTGTTTCATCTGCTGACACGTTAACATGGTTAGCTGCTGTGTTATTCTCTGCACTGTGTGACAGAGATGTGGCGTTGCCCTCTAGTGTACTGTGGAGACTGTTGGTGCTGGTATTGGTTAGCGGCTCAGAATAAAAAAACACGTCCCCTCTGGTGAGTCTCTCCTCGGAGTCCTCCGCCAACATCATGCCCACAGAAGTCTGGTTATCACCAGTCAGGGTTACATTCATTCCGTCAGTCTCCATGACGGAACTTGAATTACCTCTTGAAGTTTCCGTAAGATTGGCAGTTTCTTGTAATGTTACCGTAAGATTGGTAATCTCTGTTGATACATTTCCAACCGTTGATAACACTGTAGCATTATCAATACTTGAGACTACAAACACACTGCTGTTTGTAGTGATGCTGTCATTCTTTGGTAATATATCTGGGCTATAAAAAACAGTCGTGTTCACAGTAGAATTGCCAAAAGTTGATGGTGTACTAGTGTTCTGCACATGTGTTGTGTTCTCACTGATGCTTTGGTTCAGCAAACTAACTGCAGTAAGGTTCAGTCCATCCACCTCTGTCCAAATCGTCTCCTTGAAATTCAGGGTGATTTTCGTACCTCCATGAGGCACATCAATAGCATCATAGTCGAGGAAAGAGAGGTCCAGCTGCTCCACATCTGATTTACCAGATTGGTTCTTCAGAGACCTGAGACCTAATTCATCTGCAAACATGTCTGTGTAATAGTCTGGCTCCTTTTGTGTCTTTATTGCAGGTTTTGGCTTCTCCTCTTCCTTCTTGATGTCATCCAAGCTCAGAGGGTTCCACACTTTAAATTCTTTGAGCGCTGCTGGATCGTCATAGTCAGTGTACTCATACTGGTGGTCACGATAGCACTCAACATCCTGAAACTTTACGCGCTCTCCTTTGGTTGTCTCGTGGGAATTCAGGGAAGCCATGAGCCAGACACCTGGTTCAAGAGGGACATAAAAAAAAATCATCAATGAAAAACTAAGCAGTTGTCACTTTACATCTGCAAAGGTTTTGGGTAGTGTAATTAAGTACCAATCGTCTCTATTTATTTACATACGGTGGCCCTGAGAGCTCAACGCACTGCAAATTAAGAAAACATGCAAACAAACGCAACACAAGCAAATTAAGAAAAATGTTATTTCCGATTTGAGGAAACATGCGCACGACTTAGAATAAGGTGCTGCAAATGCCGAAACACACTGCAAGAAGCTTACAACACAACGGAAACTGTTGAAACTGCGAAACTCACGCAAAATGGTAGAGTTTAAGCATTGATCTTGAATGGTTGAGGTTAGGCATTGACCTTGATGGATGATGTTATTTGCTTGTGTTTTCTTAATTTGCAGTGTGTTTATCTCTCGGGGCACCTGCACATACACATAATATCACACGACCTTATAAACAGTATATTCCCTCTATTAACTTTCTGTTGTCATGATATTTTCTAAAGTTGAAAGGATCCCTACAGATGAAATATTTGGATACATAATCCCTAATTTGACATAAAATGCATTGTAAGCCCTGACAGACCAATGTTGTCCATCTTCATAGTTATGGTCTCTCCGCTCATCGGGTAGAGGCTGAGGAAGTCCTCTGTCCGCCCGTTCAGCTCAAATGTATGGCCGTAGAAAGTAACTGTCTGGATGTAGTCTTGTGCTCCAATGCTGGACATGTGCCATGTCACGATCTCACCGTTGCAGAAGCCCAGGGGCGGGCCGCTCTCGAACACGTAACCGTTAATTGCTGTGAGGAAATACATTACATGAAGGTCAGTCGTCTGACAGCAAGCTGAAGACAACGCAGTTAGATGGATGAACGAATAATGCAGTGAATATATCGTGTCGTTTTGAATTATCTTTTATTAGATTATGGCAAAAACTTACTGTGCATGACATTGGACTTATAAAAGTCCGGGTCTGCCTTGTTAACTTTGGATCGATCGCAATATTGGCGGATGTTGTCATCCACGTACCAGCTCTTGTTCTCATCGAACACAGCCAACATTGCATGCTGCTCCTTGTCTGCTTTCAGCTGGAGAAACAAACCAAAATAATAGTTTTGATTGTTACATTTTGCCTTTTCCCTTCGACAGTTTTCTCTTTCAACACATGTAGCCGTCCCCAGAGCCATGCCGAACAATGAATGTAGCATCTTTTTACCTGCACACCCCTGATATTGAGGGACTGACTCTTGCAGATGAGGATTTGTCCTATCAGTCCTGAGGCGATGTCGCGTGGCGTGTCCACTGCGCTGTGGTACAGTCGTGTCAAACATCGAGAGTCCTCGTCAAAGGGCTCATCCTCGTCGACCACTTTCCAGGTGTAGGTGTGTGTCTCACCTGGCTGAACACCATGAGAATGGTTGCCTTGCAAACACATGGAGATATACCTCATTGGTTATTTTTCATATGATGAAACCAGAGTGGATAATCCACTTTACCCAAGTGTTCAATCCATTTGTTTTACTGTGAGGACAGATTTCGTACCTCCTGCTGGGTAGTTGACTCCCTCATCTGACTTCTCTATCGTCAGTCCATGTGGATAGATACTGTAGGGCCTGGAGGCCTTGTTCTTAAAAACAATCTGTAAACGGACAGGAGGATGAGTGAGGACACGCCGTCTGCAGACAGTGATAAATACTCAGGCTTGATGACCCAAGTATTAGAGTGACACATGATCTGTGAGCTGGCTCTGTGCTCGCACTCACTGACTGTGAGGTTAAAGTGCTGTATAGAGCAACAATTTAATAGTGTTTATAGCCATAGCAGATAAAAAGCATTGGAACTGGAGCCATTTTTATATGTAGTACGTTTCAATTTTAGGAGAAGTTAACAAAAACACTTTAGAATGAAGGAGAACATTTAAATGTTTCTTTATCCGATGCCTGTTTGTTTTAAAAAGTACTTTTTCAACTAAATTAAATTCCGGTTTTATATCATTCAATACACTGCATTAATGCCTAAATATTTGTCTGGCTTTTTGTCTTAGTCTGGTATTTCTCTGTGATCTCACCTTGACGATATCTCTGATTTGCGCTCTGATCACTGGGCCCAAGATCCCGAGCTCATTTTTCCTTTGCTTGGACTCCAACCTCTCAGTGAATGACTCGTTTTTGTACAGCGTGTACACCGCCTTCTTGTACTTCCCACCGACTCGTGTTGGTGACTGTCTCAGGTACTGGAACTTGAAGTCCCTGCACATAAGAGGAGTTATTTAATTTGGAGACATTGATATAATTTCCATAATAAGAACAAGAACATTTAAAACACTGCACTTCAAGCTGTGGTGGCACCGGTGTATTTAATCAGTGCAAAACTGCCCTTCAAGTTTAAATAGAGCTTAAAGAGTTGAGAGATTTGTAAATGCTGCTTACCCGTCAATGTGTTCTTGCATATTAGGTGCATAGTCCCAGATAATTTCCTCAGCAGCTATGTAGTATGTCCACACCATGCTGTTTCGTTTTTGTTCGATGGTCATCCTTCGCTGCGGTGCTTTGAAGCCGTCACACTTTTTCACATCCACGAAACCATGCATGCCAGCTGCAATGGCAGAGACACATTTTCTTTTTTCTTGTAAATTCTGTTACATTGGTAAATGCTATCTATATCTATGGTGGACGATTGATCTATTCATCTCCTGAGTAGAGAAACACGTACCCTCCATGTGCTTGATGGTGTGGGAGGAGAGCAGCCAGCGGCCTGCGTGGAGAGCCACCATGCTGGCGGTGGCGGTGGAGCCGCTGATGAGGCCCACCGATGACACTTTATGCCCGGTCTGCCGCAGCACCTGGCCGTTCATGTGCACTGAGAATACCTCGGGCTCTGAGCTCATACCCACCAGATGCAGGCTCACAGAGGCGTAGGCACACACACTCACATCTGGACGGAGAAGAGGATGCTGTCGGTCACTTTGTGTAATTTTTCTCTCAACTGTTTTGTTTAAGCAGGACATCTAGCGAATGTAATTTTACTGACTGTACACCGTGACGTGTACCATCTATTTTCTCACTTTTATTATTGACTAAACTTTTTATTAAAAAATAATCTAGAGATTAACTCATGATGAAAATATAATGTGTGCTCATACATATCAAACAAAAAAGGACTGAGTCATCAGTGTGTTTGCAGTCAGTTTGTCAGTGTGAAGCATCAGCAGTGTTGTTATGGCTACTTGCAGTTTAAAATACCTTCCGCACTGACTTAGCACGGAGGTTTGTCTATTAACCAGAACTCTGTCTGAGGTGGTCTGATGTGTCATCTGCATATCATGTTGTTAAAAAAATCACCAAGGAGACCTGAACAACTGACTGCTCGCTCTCTAACTCAATGAGTGATAAATGAATGACTGGACAGACTAACCAGGTAGCGATCCCATTGCGTATCCGTTGATGGTGTACTTCACATGGTTGGCATGTTTGTTTGGTTCGTACTTGCTCTCCCTCTCATCAAAAACCCCAAAGAGGAACACATACTCCTGGTGGACGCCGACCTGCTGCCCCGACTCATCCAGACTGCCTGAGAGGGAAAATAGGAGAGAGATCCAAAATAATGACAAATATATGTAGGTGCAACTGATACTTTGTGATTTGAAACACAACCAACTTTTTACTGCTTACCAGGCTTGCAGATGAGTAAAGTACCAATGAGGCCCGAGTTGTAGTCCTCGACAACATTTATGTGGGAGACGTAGGTGTAGGTGATACAGGTGGGGTCATTTGGCTGTGGAGAAACATCTGATGTCACCTCCCAGTAGTAAACGTGCTCCCCGTTAGGCTGCACCACGTCATCCTCTTTCTCTTTCTGTGACGTGTTGTCAAAGTAGTTGGCCCCTGCAAAAACAAACACCGTGAATAAAAGCGAGAACTCTCTACACTATGGATAAATAAAGAATCATGTTGGAATGGTCTAATAATTAAATCCCATTGCTGAGCAGGGGTCTAAGGAGATTATTGAATTTCCTAACAAAAAAAGATTTCATGAAGAATTTCCTACAAGCTGTTCTTGAATTTCAAATTACTCGGCTCTTTGACTTTTGCATTAAGAGCAAATTAAAAAGCGCTTAATGTCAATTTCCTACATCCAAAATGGCAATAATCTCCTGTTACTGGACGCAGACAGTGATTTCCTATCAGGCTTAGTAATGCTTCCTGTTGGACTTCAGTACAGTCTCCTCTGATAATCTCCCTGTCCTGGTTAATATTTTAGAAAAAGACAAACAAGGTTGTTTGTTGTGTTGGCTAATCTTGTGTAAACATGGGAATGAGCAACATCATGAGCACCCACACAGTGACCCGTACAGACAGGACTGAGAGTCTTGCTGCTGTCTGCGGGTTTTGCCACAGCTGTCACATTCATCTGCAGCTGGGTTAACAAGCACCCACCCTCCGACTGTTTGCCGTAAGCGACCCCGTGTGGGTGGATGCTGTGCGGTCCGGTGGCCATGTTTCGGAAAGTGACGACAATGGTCTCGTTCTCCTGAGCCCTCAGCGTGGGTCCAAGTAGACCTGCGGAGAAAAGACACGCTCAAATTTATTTGGAATCAGCGACACTTGTATTTTTTGGTATTTCATCATGACACACCGGGGATGTAAAGTCAGACTGACTCATAACTGAAATAGGATTTCATGGCCCATATATTGTTATGTTATCTTACTTACACTCTCCTAGAAAGGAAATAATACACAACTGTTATTTTCTAGGAACATCCCTGGAAAGCAACATGCTCTTTGGTACTAATTATAAGGGAAATTGAGAAAGTATTCATTTGGGACGGTTGTTAAAGAGACAGTGGTTGAAAGAAAATAGTTCCTCCAAGAAACTGCTCACAACAAGGTTTGTGGTTTATCTTAAGAGTAACCAGGTCATGATTTCTGGAAAGAAACATCGCTGTTGACTTTTTAAAATGTATCTATTCATTTTTTTTGTGCTTTGAGCGCCACAAGCTGCCATTTAGCCCCATTATATTTGATAGAAGGCAGACACCTCCAAAACAAAACAATCTGATTAATAGCACTTTGGGTAAGAAGAAAAACAATATTTTAGATTGTGGGGTGAACTGGCCCTTTAAGTACCTGCTGATGTATTACCGTTTGTAAGAATAGAAGGAAGTGAAACAGTAGTTACATTGAGTAATCTTTACTGACATTTTAAACAGTTTCACAATTCTTTCTGGGAAATTCATCAAAATTGCAAGCTGCTTATAATTCACTAACTGTGCTGTTCTACATCCATGGGGACACATTAAAGGAACAAACACGCCCCAACTAAATGCAGGCTCCTCGTGCCTGAAGAACATTCTAGTCTCTCTATGAACCCTTCATCCAAAAGATATTCCCCCATTCGGTGGTTTAATTACGGTGGTGGAGAGCACTTTCCTGACAAGTCTCTACAAAATCTCCCATAGGTGTTCATTTGGATTGCGATCTGGTGACAAAGAAGGCCATAATATAATTCACATCATGTACGTGCTCAACACACCATTCAGTGAAACCTCGTGCCCTGCAGGAAGCATCTGCATTTGTTTTGTTTCTACGCTCATTTATTCAGGTTTATCCTTTAGTTTCTCATTCATCTGTATAATCTGTCTATAATTACTCTGTTATTTTGTGTTATTATATACTCAAATAAATGTACCAGTTCAACACATTTAAATTGTCACACTAATTAATACTTAAGGACAGTTTGTGAACAGTCATGTACATATCAATTTGTTTCTGGTCAATGATTAGGAAATTAAAGTTTATATTAGATTTTAGGAGAAGCGTTTCTTAGGAGTTTACCTAACCAGGAGGGATGAGTCTTCGCCTGTCGGAAGTCTTTGTCATACTCCCGAAAGACCACTTTCTTATAGGTGGGACCAAACCTAAGGAATTAAAGAAAAACACAAAGTCTCAATCAGCACACAAGGAAAACACATGTTGTTCACACCAGCAGCACAGCATTTTAACAACATGGACTTTAAGATATGAAGGCACAAGCTTCCTTACATGTTGCAACTAAAGTGTGTCTATATGTGTGTGAGTGTGTGTGTGTGTGTGTGTGTGTGTGTGTGTGTGTCTGACACTATCATAGGATGAATAACAGGCTTCCAGAGAGATGAAACAAGGACACCATGGACTGTTTCCACGCGGCACACACAACTTCAATAACAGAAACTGAGTTAGACGTCTTGGACAAGCTCAGGTGGACAGAATTCAAATAATATTAATAAGACAAAAATACAATACAAAATAATTAAATTAGAGTAATTCAACACCAGCTGCATGTCTAATTCTGTAACCAGTACCCTACCCGTGTGTGTCATTGCCAGAGTAGTTCCAGTCTATCTCCACAGCAGCGATGTAATAGTGTCTCTCCTTGGGCTGCTGCTGGTCGGCTTTGACATGTAGGACAGTCAGAAGAACCAGGACAGACAGGAGACACCAAGCTTCAGTCCAGGAACAAAGCCTCATATCTGGGGTTAATCCTCCAGGTGAAACCGGTCTGCTCTACAAAGTGAAGAAGCTGTGATCTGACAGAGAGGTCCCGCTCCGTGCTTTATCTGTGACTGACACAATCGCACACACACATGCGCTTTTAAACATTATGTCCCAGGGCAATGAACTGTGTCTCTGCATATTTTTCTCTCTCTCTCTCTCTCTGTCTCTCTCTCTCTCTCCCTGTCTCTTGTAATTGAAACCTCATGTGTGTTGCTGTGAGTCATCCCCGAGGGGTGTGCTTCTTCCCATCATCTCCAAAAAAGCACAACGATGTCAATAACATTGAAAGTTTCTCCAACCTCAAAATGTCCCAAGAAATCATCTCGTGAAAAACACGCCATAACTCAAGAAACTGTACGTGTGACAGGTGGAGACAAACCAATCACAATGTAATATAAACATCTCAGCGTTCATCATTTCATCATTAGCACATATCGAAACTGTTGTAAGTTACTTGCTTAACTTTTTTCATTCAGAACTATTTCTAATGTTAAGAGCACCTCTGCTTTAAAAGTCAGTAAAGCAAAGATTTATCACCTCTCAACCTAATTATTGCAATTCTTGTTATGGAGTCAGATTATTAATAAAGATGCGTTACCTCCACCCTTGATTTTTGACAGGAGTAAAAACACAACCGCGCTGTCTTCTGTGGGTCGAAAGTCAAAAGTCTCTTGGACCTCTGAACCCACTGTGAACCCATTGTGACCACACCCAGCTGTGATGTAGCATGGTACTATAGTGCCAGACTAATTGCAGCACAGGGTGTGGAAAAAGCCCGCTGTCTGGGAGAAGTCACTGTTTAATTAAAGCTGTGTTGTAATGTTAGACAATGTGGAGACAATTTTGACTACTTCATGATGCAATACATTAATAAGTTCATTATGTGTTTTGGACATATTTGCACAACTACAGCTGTCAGACGAATATAGTGGAGTGAAAAGTACAATATTTGTCGCTCAATACCAGTAAAGAAGAAGTAGAAAGTAGCAGAAAATTGACATTTTCAAGTTAAGTTAAGTGCAGGCAACTTTTTATTTTACAGTACTGAGTATATTATAGTTACAAGTACATTTACTCATGTACTGCTCTAAATATATCATATATATCATGGTGGTACTACATAAAAGTATACAGCAACAGACCTTCTCAAGATGGGACAATCAGATAGTGCGCGCACATCTGACTCACGCGGTGCGTACAGTATGACGTCAACACGGAACCTGAGTGTGCCAGCACGCATGCGCGGATTAACCAGGAAGAGCAATAGTGCAGCTATGTCTAGGAATAAAGAGGAACAATAAGTAAGTACCACCTACGACTGGTTTCTTTTCCACATGTTATTGACGATTTCCTCAGAAAAATACACGAAAGAACGTTTAAAAGAAACCGCGTGTTGCTTTTCTTGAAGGTGTTTGTTTGCAGAAACACGACGGTTGTTGTGAAGAGGATGCTAGCTCTTCACACTTACTGGTTCAATTCAATGTGTGAGCGAGACTCACTTACGTCTCTCGCTTGCTATTATTTTGTATTATACCTTTTAAATACTCGATGCAACTTCTCAGAGCCCATGTCGACGGCTATTCAGCTGGGAGCAGTGGAGCTTTGTGTTTAAAGTAACTGTATTAATTATAATGCAGACCTCTCTGATGTGCCTTTCCCTCAGTTACAGTTTAAGTTACAGCTTCATTGAGGGATGACTTATAGCAGGGCTGCTGTACCCCATCAACTGGTAACTGGGTGTAATCTGCGGTGTTTTCTGATGGATAGATGGGAAGAGTCAGCGCTCGAGGATGTGAAATGTTCCGCTAATTTCCACATTCTGATCTCTTTTTTTATAGTCAAGTGTGATGGAGTTATTACGTTTCCATGTCTAAGAATAAATAAACAAGGCTACATACATTAATTGGTAATAGTCCATGATTAAACAGCTTATAAACCTATATCCATCCCATTTGTTTATTGTAATGAGGATTCTGAAACTAAAACTACTAAGATACTGGGCACCAGTTTGATACGAGCACTGTGTGTCTCTGTGTTTTGTGTTTAGGTTTGACTGCATTCAGATCCGGTCCTAGCCATGGTGCGCTGCCAGTCCTGCACCAGGCTGTGCTCCCGCTCCTCGGCCTACACTCTGGCCCTCGGCCTGGGCTTCGTAACTTTGGGGACCAGTCGCATCCTGCTGCTCAAATTCTCTGCCAATGCTGGTGACTGACGGACGTTACTTTTTTGTTTCCCCACAGAGATGTGATATTACTGTGACGTGATACGCTTGCCTTCCAGCCAGCACACACTTGAATATCATGTTATAAAACAGCTTTAATGTTTTTAATGTGACATTTGTTGACGCTGTCTCTTTGTTTGTGGTCAATTTGCAGAGAACAAGTATGACTTCCTCCCTGCATCCGTCAATCTACTTGCTGAGTTACTCAAACTGCTCTTCTGTCTGGCCATGTCAGTTCGGGTCATAGTCAAAGGTCCACATTAAAGTCCCAGCTGAGTGTGTGTGTGTGTGTGTGTGTGTGAGTGTGTGTGTGTGAGTGTGTGTGTGTGAGTGTGTGATGGTATGTTTATTTGCTCTTTTTGTCTTGTCTCTTCAGAGGGTCGATCATGCAGAGATCTTGGCTTTTCTTCCAGCTCCTCCTTCCTCAATTCCCTGAAATGGGCTGTCCCTGCTTTCCTCTACTTCCTAGACAACCTCATCATCTTCTACGTGATGACTTACCTGCAGCCTGTTAGTTACCACTTCAATATCTATTCACATGACCACTACCTGAGGGAAACATTGTGTGTGTTGGCTTTACATCCGGGCTTCTGGAGACAATTCTGGTGCAGTTATTTAACCATCATTAACATGCAAACCACAGCTTATTGGTAACTCTTTGCAAACCTCTTATAACTTCTGTGACATAACATAATCTCAATGTAGATTTAACCCTTTCATATCACACCAGCTTTTACTGAATGTCCTGTACAAAGACTTGGTGTTTGGTTGTTATGTTTGGCTATCACTCTGCTGTTTTGTCTCTGAACCAGCTGTTCCTCCTCGTGTCCCCAGGCCATGGCAGTGTTGTTCTCCAACTTTGTCATCCTGACCACAGCTGTACTCTTCAGACTTGTTCTGAAGTAAGTGGCTCAATTCACCACCCTGTAATGTTTTGTTCTTCAGTATGATAGTGTGTATGTTTGACTGATGAGATGGGATGAGTCTGCATCAGCTGATACATTCCCTGTTGAAATGCGGTTGCTTTGTCAATCCCCCCCCCCCCTTTTCTTCAGGCCTGTTTAGAAGATACATCTTCTATTTAACCAAATATTTAAGGAAAAATAGCTGCTGAAAATGTCCTTTCTGTAGCTCAAAAGTTAATTTATACACAGTAGAACCACAAATGAAACTAAAGTTTTAGTTCCTCACCTTTTCCTTTAGGAGGCGCCTGTCCTGGGTTCAGTGGGCAGCGTTATCTGTCCTCTTCCTGTCCATCGTTTCTTTGACGACGGGATCAGGGAGCAACCAAAACTCCATCGCTCTGCCAGGTCTCCACTCAAACCCGCTCTCCACCCCCTCCAACTCCTGCCTTCTCTACACACAGCTGCTGGAGCAGATGAGGAACAGCAGGTCACTGTCTTTCTTGTCATGACCTGGTGCCTACATCAGTATTCATAATTCAATGAGAGTTAATGTCTGGCTCTATGATGTTTTTATTTCCCTTGTTCACATCTTTTCTCCCCCCCACAGTGCCAGTAAATCGTGGGTGTCGTCCCTGCCCGGGCAGGCCTGGAGGGACAGGGTGGTGGAGAAGCTTCGCTCTCTGGGTGTGGGTCACATCCTGCTCGTCCTCCAGTGTTTCATCTCCGCCATGGCCAACATCTACAATGAGAAGATCCTCAAAGAAGGAGACCAGCTCACTGAGAGCATCTTCATCCAGAACAGTAAACTGTGAGAGGCGACTTATGCAGAACATAATAAGGCAGAAGATGCATCGTTAAATTCAGTGCTCAAGTCCTTTGCTTCATGGTTTTGCAGGTATGCCTTTGGTGTGGTGTTCAACGGTCTGACCCTTGGGCTCGGCAGTGAGGCACGAGGCCTCACCGAGCACTGTGGCCTCCTCCATGGACATAATGTGTACTCTCTGTGTCTGGTGCTGGTCACTGGTGAGTGAACAAAGGATCAGTAACACGTCCTCATGCCTAATAACTCACTCTTCTGAGCTGTGGAGTTATTTGAATCACTGAACATCGTTAAGGCTTACTAAGTTGTCTGAGAGTATACACTGAGATAAGATACTTAAAGTGCGCATCTGAAAAACTCCTCTCTCTTCCCTGTGTTCTCCTCAGCTGCCCTGGGTTTATCTGTGGCCTTCATCTTAAAATTCAGAGACAACATGTTCCACGTGCTGACGGGCCAGATCACCACTGTTCTGGTTACCGCCTTCTCGCTCTTCCTCTTCGACTTCCGCCCCTCGCTGGAGTTCTTCCTCCAGGCTCCCACGGTCCTGCTGGCCATCTTTATCTACAACGCCAGCCGGCTCAAGGACTTGGAATACAGCCTGCAGCAGGAAAAACTGCGGGTCATCAACGGAGAGGTGTTTGAGAGGTCCAGAGGGGTAGGGAGCAGCACACCGCCTAAAACACACAAATCTTCACTTGTCACGTGCACGTGCTTTTCACCTCACCCACGTGTAAAGCCCCTTCCTCTCCTCCCACGCACATACCAAGCTCTCTGTGGGAAAGCTGGCTCTTACTTCTCTATAATGTGATTTCTTCAGTGCAGGAGGAAACCTGATTCCCTGCTATGAAAACAGCATTCAGCCTCACGCTGGTGCATTACCTCACGTAATCTCATTAGGTCATTGTAGTCTATTGGATTTTGAAAGAGGAAGCTGTTAAACGGAACCGATCTCTATGGGGGCCTCGTGAGGACACTGTCCTGGGGTTAGCAGGACTTTGAGGAAATTAACTTAAAAAGTTAATGTTTGGTGATGATTCTAAGATGTCTGTCTGCAGGTTTGTCCACCGTTCCGCATGCATTCTCTAAATTTTCTCTTGTGTTTTCTGTCGCAGGACGGCGAGGAGCTGGAGCTCCTGACAAAGACCAACACAGACAGTGAATCCGAGGAAGAGTCTTTGTAGTGCCGGGTCTCTTACGAGACGGAAGGTTTTCTTCTTCACTGCTGCTAAATGCGAAGCTGCTGTATAGACTCGTCCTCATGGTCGCCGATTCCATCTGTCAACGCTTTTATTTCAATGACTGTCTGCAGGTAAATGTGAACAATGGATTGTGCGATGAACTCTTGGATAACTAAGACTATTGTGTATATTTTGTGCCTGTCTATTTAGGAGTGCTGTCGTGTCAGTAATACATTAGCGTGTGTGCCGGTAAACAATCCTCGCTGTAGTTGCCGTTTGGGATCATTAAGGCCTTCTGTTATGGATAATTGATGTCTTCTAATGATTCCTGTTGTATGTGCAGCTATTTGGTGATCGATGGGTTTAATGACCAGCAGCCGTACTTCACACGCTTTTATGATTGTATAAGGCTTTATGCTTGTTTTTGGCGTCGTTGGCAATCTATGGTCAATATTTAAACAATGTGAAAAACCGAAGCACCGTATTCCAGCACAAAATCATAAATTATAACTTCAGAAACACATTAGCAGACAACAGGATCGATGTTTCCACTACAGTGTACAGAGCTTTCTATTTTTCTGCTCACTCAGTGTTTTGTCTTAAACTTGAACCAGAGCTACGAGCATTTACACAATTCACAAGTTTGGATGCCTGAACTTCTGAAAGCACAACAAAGGCTCTTGGTTCTCTTCATTGGCCTTGAACATTACTTTTTTTGGTCATATGGAGGAATAATGATGTTGTTCAACTGTGAAATGCCATGAAATATATTTCTTTTAAGATTCCTCTTGTGTCACAAAACTGCTTTCATTTTGTGATGACAATTAAAATGTGTCGTGTGTTGAAAAAGGACGAGGACAAAGTCATAAAGTCATGAAGTCATATTGGGGAAACAGGCTGCAGGAATGTGGATGAAGATAGACCTACTGAAGGGACCATGAGGTTGAGGTTAAAAGCCTTTTCTTACATATATTTTTCATTCTTCTGTATTACAGCGCATGTTTTTTTAATATAGGATAGGGTTGTACTTTATGTACTACTGTCAAATGTTCCCTTTCATCGTCTCAGTAGGCCACTAGGAGGAGATGTAGCTTCAGAGATTCTTGCAATGCAGAAGTCTACACTGACACTTTGAGCATTGACGGTACTGTCCAGAAAGCCATCCAAAGACCGTTACTGGTAGTAAACAAATGTTTATTTGTCATATAGCACAATAGAGTATAAATAAGAACATTGTATAGCAACAGAAACTTTACAAGAGGGAAATAATGTGACAGCTTCTTTTCATAAAATAACCGATAACTGCACCTCAAATGCAATAGATGTCCAATAAATACATATATGTCTTATTTTAGCCCATTATCTACAAAATAAAAAGGTGTGTGCTGATGAAATGAAAATGTAAATTTGACCTGGAAGGCAAGTGAAGGAGACAGGTAATATAATAACGTGCAAACCACTTGTTTGAAGTCATAAATGACCAATCCAAAAAACAAAAACAACGTCCACAACAGATCTCTGAACCTCCAGGCTCATTTACACATTTATTGACGAGCCGACTGATTGAAGCCTCTTGCAAATTACATTTACTTGCAGCAGACTATGTTATATGTACTGTATCAAAGAGCTGGATAGGTGAAAGCAACAGTTTTGAGGCTTTCACTAAGTGCTACAAAACATTCAAGGACTTCACTCTGTCTGAGCCGACTGCCTGGTGGAGGATGGGAGGGAAAGATTAAAAAAAGTTACGGGCGAAAGGAAGAGGGCCGACAGTGCCGAGCGCCAGCTGCAAAGCAGAGGGGAGGGGTTAGTAACCGTAGCCCTGGTGGTATCCGTCCTGATAACCGTGCTGGTGGTAGCCATATCCACCGTACTCGTCCTCGGGGCAGCGCATACCCAGTGACTGCTGGATGGCCATCTCCTGCCTGCGTAGCTGCATAGAGTCTATAAGGTCATAGATGATGGCCATGGACCACATGGGTGAAGGGTACCAGGACTTCACGTTGCCGTCCTTCCCCACCAGCAGCATGGAGAAGTATTCTGCGCTGATCTGGAAGTAGTTCCTTATGTCCTTCACCAGGTTGGCTGACAGCCCTTCGCGCTCCACAGTAGCACTCCCTGGATGGAGCAGAGATGCAGCTTAGGAAAGATGTATTTAACACAGATATCTTACTTTTTTGAGAGAGGAGACAGTGCAGCCATGTTTTTCCTTTGCAGACATTTTCTGCATCTCCAATTTGCTGAACTCAAATGTCAAACAAATCAAAGGCAGCAGCTCTAGCTTTGCATAAGCTTGACTCGCATTTCTTTTTTCCCAGTAAAGTTTGTTTGTTCAAGAGATTTGTTCTCTTGAGCAACAAATACCAGGTTATATGAAATGAAAGACATAATTCCTGTTTTGATTCCGAGTCTCCTGCTACAGCAGGAACACACATGGATACATGGATATGCTGCTGTGAGGTCGTATGGAGAGTGTTTTTGTAAACAACAATCTTTGAGGTTCCTCTGGGGACATGGTGAAATAATTAAGTGGACTTTTGAACTTAGTCTCTTAACCATTTTGTGGTGTTACTGATGAGAAGTGGGATACTGAAACACTGGCCTGTGCTTGTGGATTTGTGGATTGACAGGGATTCTGGAACAGACTGTATATAAGAAGTGAACAAAGTCACCCTGACGTCACCCGTTGGTTTGTGGACGGCTGTTCTGAAGCCCGGAGTTCGGCATTTTAGTCGTCGTCGTCTTGTTTTTTTGTAACCACAAGTGACACGAGAGGGTGGAGCTAAGTACAACCGAACACTGAATAAGACATTTTTAGGTGACCGAAAAACATTACAAGTAACTTTCACAAACTGAAAACACACTATGACAGGGTACGCAACCTGTGAACAACAGCGTAGCCACGCCCTCAAGCATTCCCTGCTTCCTCGTCTGTTTGACTCTAAATGGACGATAATTTACTACATGAACATCATGCTGTATTGAAGAAGACTTGAAACTAGAGATTGAGACCATAAACTCATGTTTACAATGTTTACTGAGCTAATAAATCAAGAGAGAAGTAGTTATTTTCTCATAGACTTCTATACAACCAGAGGAGTCGCCCCCTGATGGACACTAGAGAGAATGCAGCTTCAAGGCTCTTCAGCATCGGCTTCACTTTTCAGACCTGATGTTGCTGCATTGATTCTGGTTTTGCATTTTAGTTTATATGAGAAAGCGCTTACCGTTGATAGGATAGAGTTCCAAGACTCCGCCCATTTCCAACAGCTCCGTGCCGGTCAACTTCAGAACGGCGATGTGCCTCAGACCTGTGTGAGGCAACGACAACCACATTGACAACACACATCAGAGAGAAGCAAATATGTTACTGTGACAGTTAGAGTTTAAACAGGAACATTCTGCCTGTAATATGCTGACCAACTGTTTTGTATCCACCGGTCATCCTGCTTACACAAGCTGATTTTACTGTGGTTGCCCCTTACTGAAACCATTCTAAGCATTGGGTTGTAGGTAAAGGGAGGAGAACGTGGTGGTCCAGAAAGTCCTGCCAAAATGCTGTTTCCTCTGAAGCGAGAAAGCCTACTTTAAACACAGGAGAACACAGGCTTTACTTGAGTGAGAGCCAAGTGCTGAATACCAGGATCAAACCTCTCAGGCCTGCAGCCCAGTCAGCAGGACAGGCCTTTGTGTGGGCCAGCGAGGGAGGGAACAGCCCTGGGTGCCAACCCAGCCAAGAGCAACACACGATGGGAAAAAAGTCCTCACAAACCCCGGGTCTGCTGATAAGCAAGACAAGCTCCACCTGATTCACTCATATGGAAAAACAGTGTGCAGACATACTGACGTCACAAATGGGTACCGCTTTTTATTGCGGTACATTTTATGAGAGACTTACTGTAAAATGTGGGCCAGCAAGTGCCAAACCATGGTAACGCTGTTCGTTTTGCTCAGAGGCCATCTTTACCATAATAACACTACTTTAGGAGCGGCTGGCGGTACCATGGTTTTACACTCTGCGGCTCACGTTTCGGAGAACTACGGGGGGGCTTCTGGTAACTTAAAAAAAAAAGAGTTCTTAGTTTCAGGTGATTTGAAAACATAGTTATGAATATTATATTCCATTTCTGCTAATAATTCCCCCGAAATGTTACACACTCCCTCTTAAAAATCTAGTTAAACTGCGGTTATATCTTCCTGAACTGTCGTCACAAGTATCGAATGGCAGATAGTGCATAAGTCAAAGGCATAAATGTGGCAAATAAATCTATGTTCCTGACTTGAGCATTATGAGAAAGTGCTTGGGAAAGAAGTGAGAGCCAGGGAGAAGTTGTCAGAAACCTTGAATCCCTATAAACAAGACGGGAGCATGAGGTTCAAGCAGGGGAGAAACTCCAGATGACAGCATTTATTTGGTTTTATTGAGAAGTGGAGTTCACTGTGGCCCATTTCAAGTTTACATTAATCTTACATAAATCTGTCAGACATGTCAGGCTGTTGAGATTTGCAAAGTTTAGACAAATGTCTCTTTTTGAAATATACAGTAGTAACATTAAAGTCACTGTGGAAAAGTTGACCAACTGGCAAAGCTGAAAAGGCCATCGTCAGGGAAGGAAAAGAGCTGGTTAGCGCCCAAACAGAACAGAACAGCCCTTTGCCAGGTCTGTCATCTGGCGTCCTGTCTGTGCACACACACACACACACACACACACACACACACACACACAGGTGCTCATGATATCTGCAGGCTTGCAGTAAACAGAAACATCCCATGTAATCAACTTCTTCATGAGTGGTCCCACTAATACTTTGGCAGGCAGTGACGGGACACACGCCTGGTTAAAGGTCAGGTGAAAGTGTTTTGAATTAACGCAGAGATGATTCAATCTATGATCACATCATTAAAGATTTGACATTTTCTTTCCAGGTAGGCAGTTAAGCTTTCTTTTATTTGTTTTGCTTCTGGCGGCAGCAACAGGAAATAGATTGGAGCACAGAAAAGAGTAGTCAGTATGAGCGGAGCTACTCTTGCTGAGCACACACAGAAAGGACAGAAAACAACTCCAAAGGAGAAAGTCCTCACAGCAGTGGCCGCACAGAATGAATGTGAACTCTAACGGCATAAAATGGCACCACAATGTCACAATAAGAGTGAAACAGACACCACTTTAAAGTAGCTTTAAAGGATGAGTTTGTTTAAATTACACCAAAATAAACCTTTAAGCTCTCGGAGTATTTAGCCATCGTTTAAAATACGTGTATTTCCAGCCCTTTAAAGTCCCTTTCCAGACCTCAGGAAAGTGAGTTAATTGACCAGTCACAGTTAGTTTTGGAGTGAAGTGACAGGTTGATTTCGGGTGACTCACCAAGGTTGCAGGCCTGGCTGGTCAGGGCGTAGAGCTGCTGCTGATAGGCCCACTCCTCGTCGTTGGGGGCGGAGATGATGAACAGCCGACGTCTCCAACGGAACCTGCAATCACAGAAAGTTTCCGCCTGGATTTAAGTGGCACGTTGGTGCGCGGCAGTGAAAGCTCTGTGCAAATGCAAGGGGTTTGTGCTCGCACACACCAACGTGTCGCCGTACTATTCCTGCCAGAGAGTGACAACCCCTGAATTATGGTAAAAAAAAAACTGCCAGATCTCAGCACTGTGATGCTGAAGCTGAAATTCAGGTCTCCATGGAAACAAAAAGACAGCCTGTCTGCTTTAGGAAAACATGTGACTGCAATGATTCAGCCTTGAGGTACTTTTAACATCAGTGGAACGCACACACAAACCGGCTGCCGCAATCCGCCAAATGCTGCTTATAAACGCTATAAATTGTGGTCGAGCTGATTATTGAGCAAAACAACAGCTGTTGGATGGAAGCGGAAACACCCAATAATTCTGATGACCAACTCTTCAGCAACACACTTAAACTAAGACAATATCTACGATTTCAATGAAGAGATATTTATTTACAGTATGGCCTCTCAGGTGGTTGGTAGTTGTTTTTATGCATTTGAAAATAAATGCTATTTGGCCATACTTTTGTATACTTAAGGGGCTTTTTCCCTAAGATTTGGGCAAGTAGCAATTAAGTGAAAACTTAGGGCTACATCAATGATATTTTAGACAATGGTATGCTTCAAACTTTGTGGCAACAGCTTAATGAAGCTCAATGAAGCTTAAAGACATGGTTAATTGGGTGTAATGCTTGGGTGTCCATATATCTTTGGCCATGTTGTGTATTTAAAACCTTTAGAAAACAACTTTACCTGGAGAGGAAGTTCTCCAACGATCTGGGTTTGTCCTCTTTCTTGCAGACAACGCCGTCTCTCTTCTGCTGCTCCATCTCTCGGATGCGGGAGGAGAAGGTGTCGACGTAGTTCAGTACGGCCTTCATGGCGATGGGAACCTCGTAGGATTGCTGACAAAAGAACATTGACAAGAACCAGTTATACTTGGTTCCAAAATGTGGTGAAACCACAGGATAAATAAGTCGATATGCAAAAGACACAAAGCATATGAAAACAATGGTTAAACTGTTTTACAATGAAGTGATGAAGTGAAGTTTTGGAACATGTTTGTAGATGTGGTGCGGTCTCGTCGACATCACAAACATTCTTCAGAACAACTTCTGGGAAGCGGCACAAGGCGAAAACATAACACAGCCTCCCATTTCATTTATGAAATGCTAAACAACGTCAGCGTGAATATTTAACACAGCCGCATGCACACTCTCACACCTTCCTCGGGATATGCTGAATCTTCTGCACGGCTCCTTCTAACTTTTTCACACCTTTCTCCTATCGCTCTCTCTGCCACTTTCTGTCTCACACCAACACCCACATCCTTGCACACTCACAGACTTCCCTGTCTCTGTCAGCAGAGAGGTGAACACTGGCCCCTTTGACGAACCTGTCCAAATACAGCCCGGGAAATGTACCCTGGCAAGCACACACACACAGGTGTGGGGCAAATGTCATGTTGTGTGAATTAAAACAGTGTTTTAGTGAAGGCAGCACGTTGGCAGTACGAGGACGGGTCCAACCATCTTCAAAGGGAAAAAGAGAGGATGAAAGTGTTGGACAGAAGGGTGGTGAACCTGTAAACAGAGAGTGGAGACCGACAGCTGTGCCACAACTAGTAAGAAAGTACTCTAACTTTAGAGGGAATGTTTAGATTTTTTAAAATATCATGCTTCCCAATCTGTCCCCATTCAAGGTACGGATACCTCAAAGGATGTGGCTCTTGAAGGTCCCGCAGAGGAAATGAAGGCTGTGGGGGCATACACCAGTTGTGTCGAGGAGCCTTTGAAATCGGACAAACCTCCACATGTTCTGCCTAGGACTTTAGAGGATCCAGCCTCTTAAACTGTGATACATGAGTACAGAGCGAGTTCTTACCTTGACTCTCATGTCGGCATCGGTGAGGACCATGTAGAAGTCGTCATGGGTCATGCCAAACTCTTTCCTCAGCTCTGTGATCAGATCCTGGTTCACCAAGTCCTCCTGACGAAGACCCTTCATAGGCTTGTCATGTTCTGGAGAAAAAAAAAGGGACAGCAGTGGAGACGGTGAGACAGCTTATGTTTGTTGATTCACACTATTGTATGTGAAGGTCCACAGCGATACAATACATACAACATACAACATACAATCACGACGGTGATGTTTTCAACCCTGTGAGTTGTGAGCTGCCAGGTGTTTCTAATTCTGTCTGTGGACAAATTTTGTCATCAAAAATGCATAACTTACAGGTATGTAGTAAAGTTTGAAAATAGGTGTAGTCTGAGCAAGGGGGTAGGGGGTAGGAAATGGGGAAGGGGCCATTGCCCCCCTAAATTTACGCCCCAGGTCCAATTTTGCTTTGTGAATCGTGTGAGCTCAATCCAAAATGGTCTCTAGTTTTAAATGTTTCTTGTGGAGAAGAGACTTGTGCTCTGCAGCATACTCACTAAAACCTAAACAAGAATATATAAGATGTATAAACGTCTGACGTTTTGTCACATCTGATGAATAGAATCTCTTACACAACTGTAATAAAGTCACATAACTGTTGGACTTCTTACTGGAAAATGAAGTATAATTGTGATGATACGTTTTCCCAGTAAATAAAGCATAACATAACACAAACACAATGTGAGTGTGCAGCGTCTGAGACATTAGGAGTACAATGTATTTTCCATTGCTGAACTCAAAACAAGTTTCCTTTGAACAATGAATCAAGGACAAGAGCAGCTGTTATTTCCTGAGATCTGGCGTAGTCGGACGCCTAAGAAATCTACTGTAGCTGGCATTTGTACAGACCAAAGCAAAAGCCTTTAAGCACCGCTCCCTCCATGCACATGTGCAGAACACACAGAGACCACAGAATGGTGTTTTTTGGTGGTTGGTTCACCCACTCTGTGCCATACAACGTGTATGAGCAATCCCCAGACACAGACTGTACACACAGAGAAACACACAACAAACTAACTCACATCACACGCTGTCGACCAACCAACCAACTTAAAACTCAAACCCTATGAGATCACCTCAAACTAAGGGAGGGGCAACACTGAAATAGCCACTTGTTTGTATACAGCACATCCTCACACACACACACTGACCCTCTGGCAGGTATGTACGTGGAACAAAAGTGTAACTGAGTCCTACCATGGGGTGGGGGCGGGTGACGTCACAGCGGCACTTTTTCCAGCATTCCATCTGGGTAAAATCTCGTTGTCATGCGGAGTGACAGACTCATAAAGTTTTACAAAGTGGGTCCTGAGGTTAACACGCACAAACCTCAAAGTTTGAGACGTGCTCTAAAATGAGCTGCGGCGCAGAGACGACACAGCGCATTACATAGAAACAGCTGGGGTTTTGTTGTTTTGTGTCTGTGAGCTGTTTAATAGAAGGGAGGTTTACAAAAAGCTGTCATAAGTACAATAGATGAGTGTGCGTGTTGGTATGATGTCATCTCAAGTCATACAGGAACGACCCACACACTCCTGTCTCATCACTAAAAGTACAATGAAAGTATGACATTAATATAAAAGTACTGTTACCACTGGATGACATGCACAGAGAGCACAGAGGTTAAGATCATAGGACTCAGAAGACAGCTCTGTCTATTATCAGAGAAGTACACAATACTGTGTCTCCGGCAGAGTCGGTGGACAGCACAGTCTGAATGTTGCACTTGGAGCAGAGATCGTGTGAGGTCGGTAAAACGAGGACAGGACAGCAGATGTGGCCTCTCCTGGCCTCCCTCTTAGTATCGGGAACATTCACACAATAACAGGATGGCAGAATACCTGTTCTGTTTATATTTGTATTTCTTTTTACTTCCCGTGCCCTGTTGACAGAAGCGAAACTGTGTGCTGATGATTCTTACCCAGCTGGTAGTGGTCAATTTTCATGGTGGAGTTGGTCAGGGAGCCAAAGATGGTGATGATGGAGACTTTCCTGATGGCCATTTCACACACGGACTCCAGGTACTCGTCCCGCTGCTGAACGTACATAGTGTTCTCCTCACCGGGGGACGTAATCAGCTGGAGGAAGGGAAAGAAGGTTATAGTGTCATGTATATGCAATGAAGAAAAAAAAAACGCACCCACGCACGCACGCACGCACACAGTGTGCTGAAGAGGCGATGTTTACATTGACCTGCGGGCGGAGGATAGGGCATATTTTCCCAGCCTGCCTGCAGCACTGCTGTGATAAGAATCTATACTGGCTGCAAAACAGAGTCACAGTCTGTTAGCACACAGCTGCGCAGCCGGTCAGATTGCTGCTGCACATACTTTATGTCTGTTCATATTACAAACCACTTCAGTGTGATTGTAAAGCAGTGACATTATAGCGGATAAAAAGGAGGAAACGAGTGAATGGTTTGCAGCCCCAAAGCACAGAGGTGTTTACCGATTTGTTGACTGGTAGAAAATAATGAATCAACAAGTGATGACTAATCCAGATGTTTGGCTTTCTAAGCATTCTTCGTTTTTTGGAAGTTGGAGTTGCAAAATACTGTAGATCTCCTCCTCCCTCTCTGCACCTCATTTGGGCTAAAAACTAGTCCACAGTGGAAGGAAAGACAAAGTTTTGTCAAGAATTTCTGATTGTGACGTTCAAATGGTTTCACCAGATATTTCTGTTGGATTGCTGCTTTAAGTAGCTGTCTGGCTTACTGTGTCTTATTGTGATTTGGGTGTACTCAAACGAGAATCATTTCTACTACTGATGTAGAGAACTCAATGTACTGGGAGTTGGTTGACCAGTGCAGTTTAACAATGGTGATGCATCTGTGTGCTAATATTATGAAAGGAGATATGCCAGATGAGAGAGGTAGTGAGCCTTTCATGAACTGTGAGTTATGTCTTGCTCTCACCAGCAGCCGCCTCCTGTTTTCAAAGTAGTCTAGGAAGGAGGCCAGAGATCCCTTTGGAGGGGGCGTTGGCTTCTTAGTGGGCTTGGGGTAGTCCTCTTCCTCTGGGTACTTAGACGGCTTCTTTCCATTTTTCTTGCCTCCGACCTTCCCCTCCTTCCCTGCCTTTCCTCCTCTCCTCTCTGCTTTCTTGGCAGCCTTGTTGTTCTTTTTCTTCTTCTTGTCGTGCTTCTCGTGCTTGCCCTTGACCTTCTTGGTGGGACTGATGTCGGTGAAGGTTTCTGTCTCCTCCGGATCACTGACGGTTGGCTTGCCCGCTTCATACTTGTCCTCGTACTCATTCGTCAACACCTGCACGGATACATATATGTTGTTAATTGAGTAATAACAGTTATTGTCCACTTTCTTTGTTGAATAATAAATAATAATTGATTAATTATTGATTTGGCCTATATCCAGTTCACAAGAATGTTTCAAGACCCAGTGTCTCATGCATGTCTGATACAATCTTTCACTGATTTACACAGTTATCTATATATCAAAGCTGAAAATATGAAGAAAAGTCGGCTTAAAACCCCCCCAAAGTGACATTTTAGTAGAGTTTTAAAAGGATTCAACATGATGACCATTGTGCCTATTTTAGCTCACCTTTCTAATCACACACATCCCCAAAGCTATTCTTCAGTAGTGGTGTTTTCCACAAGTTTAGTAGGCCTAAATGATGTACCGGATGAACCCCACACACTTTTACCTCACCTTCTCTCCCCCGTTCTTCCTCTTGGTGGGTTTGATCTTGGAGGGTTTATGCGTGGCAGGTACCAGCTTGCGGCTGTCTGGATCTCTGTTGTCCTTGTCAGTGCGGTTCTCTCCCGCCGGGGTGGTTTTAGCCGGGTACCTCTCCCTCTCTCTGCGGTTGTCGTAGTGAGGATCAGCAGTTGTTCTGGGGGCTGGGAACCACAGGGCTGTGGTTTGGGCTCTGGTGGGTCTCTGGGTGGTGGTGGGTCTTTTTGTGGTGGTTCTTCTGGTAGTGGTAGTGGTTGGTTTGGTGGTTGTTGTTGTTGCTTTGGTTGTGGTAGTAGTAGTGGGCCGGGTCGTAGTTGTGGTGGTGGTGGTAGTCGTGGTTGGCGGTGTAGTTGTAGTTGTTGTGGTGGTGGCAGCTGTGGTTGTTGTTGTGGGCTTTCTTGGGATCTTCTTCCCTGGTTTTCTTTCTACTGGTGCCTCTATGGGTCCACACACAGAAAGGAAGACAATAGATAGAAAGGTTATTCTGTTGTTTTCCTATTTTGTGAGCAAGCACCTTGAGAAAGTAGATTCAACACACTTTCATTTGTTCAATCAACTCAAATTGCATTCTAGTGTGAATATTTCCAATCACTGACTGAAGTGATTTAAATACTCAAGTATAGCCAGATGACATGCTTAATCAGTGTGGACTTAAGACCCAGTTTGTAGGATTTGGCGGCATATATAGTGGTAAGGTTGCACCCACATTCCACAAAAAAAGATTTTCTCACTTCTCCTCTAGTAATATCTATTAATGCAGCTATAGCGTATTTTGAGATTGCGCAAACACTTTGAACAGCAACCTTTCTTTCCAGCAGCGACGTCCCCCTAACTCTGGTCAGTCTACAAAACACACTGTCATAGTTTTCGTGGAAACAGTTTTCTTCTGATGAAATAGATGGAGAACAGTTGCTCTGTGGATTATGCTGAGTGTTAAGGAAACACTGGAAACATACGTCAGATTTTATAAATGTGCTTTGTCTTTGTAGGCTGAAGTCTCAGATATATTCTCAAAATTTGGTATGAAACCAAAATCTGCTAGGACAGATACCACGAGAGAGAAAATTATACATATATATATATATATATTTGTCATTTGTGTGAACTGACCCTTTAAGTAGATTGTAATTAATGATGACAAAAACAACTGTGACTCAAATCAAACTCAACCCCCTCTCACCTGTGAGTGTGCCCTCTTCCACTTGGCCCTCCACACCTGCTGCTTTACACTTCTGGACGAAGCCCTTCTGTCTGAGCTTCTCCAGCTTCCTCATGGGCGACTGGTCGATCACCTCGTACATGGCCTCCAGCCTCACAGGGTACGGGTACCTCTCCTGCACCTGCAGGGTCTTCTTCAGCAGCACCATCCCAAACTTACCTGCAGGGCAACACAGCACTCATCAGATTTGGATACAAACAGTTTCAGCTATTCTGTCAGGAGCAGAGTGTGAGGTGTGTGCTGCTCCATGTAAGCTCAGCTTGGTCGGTTCATGGCTGTAGAGCAAGTTGCTTTGAAGAAAGAGAAATTACAACAAATATTAACAGTCACAGTGCCATCACCTCCTTCGGGACCTGCACCCATCCCTTACCTTTCTCCAATTTGAGGAAGCTCATGAGTCTGGGGATGAGAGCTGTGTCCAGCGGCTCCTCCATCACCTTCCCCTCCGTGGTGATCCTCCTCACCTTGCCACCCTTCTCTCCCTCCTGATGGAACATGACAACCTGGTGGACATGCCGTTCAGCGAGCTCGCAGTACACATCTGATTTCAGGAGAGACATCATCATCCGGTAGTAGCCGTCTGAATCATGCGGCGCCGAGATCACCAGGACGCGGTTCTTCCCTGCGAAGCTGGCCAGCAGGTTTGGTGACCCGGCGCTGTTGGGCATCCGGGTGACCCTGGCTCTCGCTCCTGTGGTGCTCACATCTTGTAGCATGTTCGGCTGGCGGGTCAAGCCGATCTGTCCGGCCACCCCTCTCCTTGGCCCAAAACCCTGACCTCCTGCTCTCTTGCCCTGCACGGACCCTGTCCTGGTGAAAACTGGAACACCCTCGTCCGCCTGCACATCTTCCTCCTTCCTGGAAGCGTGCACGGAGATTGCAGAACCGAACCCGGGGCGTCTACGTCCGACGAGGCGCTCCTTGTCCGTTGCGACCAGCTGGGCACGTCCCAGTCTGGAGCGTCTGTGTAATTGCACCCGCTTAAATTGAGTCTCTTTGTCGGCCTCACTTGTCCAAGTTAGCAGATAAATCAGAGCTAAAGTGAGAACGAAAGTCCCCCGCATTCTGGCGAGATGTCCCTCACTGAGGGGAAGATAAAGATCCAGTGGTGGAGCCGCGGTCCTGCTGGCGCGTATTTTAGTGCATTTGAGGTTCAATTAATTCCAGATGAAGACATACAGTGAGCAGTGATCGGCACATAACAGTCTGCCAGCGATGTGTTTCAGAGCATGTCTTCTGCTGAGGAAATCCACTTCACCGTCTGCTCGGTATGAGACAGAAAAGGCGAGTTAGAGGAGAGTTTGTAGCGCGTAAACAGTTATATCCAGAACTTCATCTCAGCAACACTTCCGTTTACAAGTATAATCCCAGGAGATCCGGAGTATAAAGCTCATCTGCTATACAAACATCCAAAAACGTTGTAATAATTCCTCAGCCCTCAGAGAAAATGAATGAAAGTCTTTCGGCGAAAAGTTTTGGGACCACGTCACATCTCCAAAAAATACACCCTAATAAGTTAATTTATCCAATTAATCCTCGGGCATTGTGTATGTCCAATAAACTGTGAGACGATCATCTGGGATCAGGAAGGAGGAACCACCGACAACATGCAAGAAATGCGCACACTGCGCTGAGTCTGCACAGGAAAATGCCTTTGTGCTCCCTCGCAGGTTCTCCTTGGCAAAACTGAGCGTTGGAGGCTTTCCCAGCAATGTTCAAACACAAACCCAGCCTCCGGACTCTTGGCGACGCAATGGCAGGACCTGCCCCGGGACTGTGGGTTGCCAGTTCAGTCTGCAACACCCATTTCATTAGAAATACAAAGTTTGTGTCCCTCGCGCTGACTGCGATGGTTTTAAGGTTTTCACAACATATAGGAAGCTGATTAGAGCACATTTAGAAATATATGAGAAAAGTTCAACATTTTGTTCCCCTGCTGGTCACACTACCTGGAAGTTAATCAGAATCAGAGTTAAGTTCCTTCTTTAAAGACATTAAATAAACACCCTTATATCTCCATGGATTTATTCCAAGTGCACTGTTTTTCCATCTTCTTTTTAATTTTGTGTGCAGAAATTGCAGAGACAAAGATGATTTAGAGGGAAATCCAGTGCTGCTGTATATTTAAACTTAGAGGCTGATCATCCATTTACTCTTTCTCTACTTATGGTGAGAGAAGGCACAAATGAATGTTGTTTTTACATGTTTAGAGCCAAAATAACATAATTGTAATGACTGGCTTTGCTCTTTTATGGTGTGTTTTTAGCCCAAATCAGACTCTCTTTTTCCTCTAAGAAAGTTCCCCATTTTGGCTTGTAATTAAGGCCTAAGTAAAGAAAAGTAAACCACTAGGTCTGAGCCACATCCACTCTCACTGCAAATACTAAACACTATATACGTACAGTCAATGATGTCTAACTGCTAGTTTGTAAAAAACTAAATATATTTTCCACCTATCTCTGCCTGAACAAAATATATAATGTAAAGCAATAACTACATGTATTTTGATAGCAGTTCCATCACTTATCTTCAATTTTCTCTCGGTGATACAAGTGACTTTTTTCAGTGGTGGAGATGCAACCCTGGTCTTGAAATAATGCTGAACAGGGAACCAGCTCCATTCACTTCTAGTCACACTGTCTCAACCTAAATACTTTACAATAAAAAAAAGACAACATAGTCTCTTTTGCCTCAAAACCTCCATCAGGAATAAGAGGATGTCAGGGGTTTATCCTCACCATCACATTTGGAATAATATTGATATATTAACATATCTCGAGGCTGGTGGGTTTCTTAGAAAACTCTGTTTGTATCAGAGTCACATGTGGGTTCTCCAGATGGTGAAACTATCATTGAATAGATATTTCTTGGTTGAAGAGTGCAGCGAAAGGGCCCGAAGCATCCTGTGTTCCTGCCGATGTCAGCAGATGATAACAGCTGCAGGACAGAGAGTAATTGCTCATGTGATTTTAACATTTGTTGGGTTAAAGTCAACACAAAGAGCTGAACTTGCCACGATGGACTTGGATATGTTCAGTCCGTCGCTCTATGTTACCTTAGCTGTCAGCTTTAAACAGAGCCCTGATTGCAACATGTGTCCAAAGTCAGCAGAGGTCCCTACGATTTACTCTGTAATTACATTCACTGTATGCAAAAATCACTGCAATCCTCTGGTCACTTCACTCTGAATGAGCCCGAGTGCAAATCATTCCCAGGACTGCCAGCTGAAACATGCATTTCACTGCCATCCGGATGCTTCTTTATTACAGACCTGTTGTTACTTTCAAACAAACCAGTAAAGTCATATAAGCAGCGGTCCACATTTATATGCAAGTACACATACGTCACGCATGAGGGAAGCAGATGCTTTAACCAACGTTGATGTACTTTAAGATGTACTTAAAACACATGCTGCATGTGGCGTTCACATGTGCGACTGGCACTGACCCAATGACCTTCACATCCAGCAAACAGCAGATGTAATATATGATAAAGTGTTATTATTATATTCGTTTTCTGAAGTTTACAACGTGATTTCTGCTCCTCAGCAGGTCACAGGGCATGATAGTTGTGTGGCAAAGTCAGATCTGTGTCTCTATAGTAGCCTTCTTTTTTCTGTTACAGAAACATGTATGGATTATTTTAATCTTAAACTATATTTGGTGGACACTATTTTGTCCCACAAAGCACAAAATAGCAGAGCTACTTGCAGCTGGAAAAAATTAAATGAAGCTGCACATAGTGGAGAGAAAACTCCAGGGAGATTTTGGAAAACAAACAACAAAGTACAAACTCTTTGGGGAAACAGTGTGTTGTCTGGTTGTCAAGTTTAACTTAAAACTGCAGTTTGGTTGATGTCCATCAGCACATGTTTGCTATATTCAAAAGCAGTATGCTGAAAATGTGCACATGCCACAGTACATTCTGGATGGTATTGTATATATGGAACTGGGCACAGCTCATGGCTGAGTCTTTAGGGCGAACATCAGGAAATGTTGTTGTAGAAAGAATATTTTGTCTTTCCTGCACCACCCTTTTTCTGTTAAAATCAATTCACAAAGTCTGACATCCCACACGACTCATCTGTGTCTCACATGTTCCTTTCAAAGGCTTTCCTGGTGAGTGTAATGTGTCCGAAACTTTACTGACATCTTGAGTTTTCTCAGAGATTTAAAGCTCAAAAGTTATGATTCTTATATGTCCCATAAAACAGTTAGTAGTGTGTGCATGAATGGCAGCCTGCTACGTATCTCATTTTTAGATCAGGTCAGGGTTAAGAGGATGTGGCCACACCTTGGTGTTTCATCCCTGTCCTGGCCCAAAATGTCTTTGTCATTAACTTGACACAGTTACAGACATGTAAAGGACATATGTTTCTGAGGTCTCACTTCAAGATGTTAACCATCACGTAGAAGAAAACCTGTTCATCAGCTTCATCACAGGTTTTTTTTGTGAAGTGTGGACATATCTTGTACGTCAACTCAGACCAAACTGGTGGAAATACGAGAAACAATGTCTCACTCATACCGCAGTGACATCCTGACCCAAATGAATTTGTGTTGATGCAGCACGTCCAGTCTGGGGCCGCATTCATAAACACGATGACTTTTGACCTAGCCCCTTGACCTCCTGTTTCATCAGCCCGCTGGCAGGTCAGTGAGAGGCGAACCTGTCACTTGTTACGCACATGCACCTTTACATGACACATGAGTGTGCACAAACCTGTCTACATTTTGAAAGGACATCCTGAGTGATGTGAAATGATGGATTGCAGCAGGGTGGGCTGGGCCTTTTGATAAACCATTAACCATGAAGACTTCAACCTCTCAAACCAAGACAGCGCAACAACAGGACAGTTGGGATACTCGGAATACTTTATTGACACAAGGGGCCTCATGCAGAAAGCGGAATATGAACAATTTCCTCATAATTTTGTTGATAACCACGATTTGTTCATACGTTGTTAGTACCATAGACTGTATTTAAAAGTGGACGTACACGCCACCCATCGATTTGTGGACTTCTGTTTGAAGCCTCGAGCCAGAAGTGAGAGGCTGGAGCTGGAGAGGAGCGAAGTCCGGCGTTACCAGCTAACGTCAGCACTCGTTGGCTTACTTGATCAGCAAGGTGCATCACGTAGTCCATGTGAATTGTGATATTAGCTGGGATGCTAAATTTGCAGATTGAAAAACAGGCCTTAAACTAAATGTGCCAATGCCTACAGGAAAAAATTAACAGCCAACTCCTATTGTCTGTTAGTGAAACCGAACGCTGAACAACACCGCGGCCATGCCCTCAATTATGCATATGTCTCAATATTATTTAACCAGGTGAGTTATATAAAAAAATGTCATGAATGGGGAAGTTTGAGGGACCAAATGTTTTTTTGTTTTATTTACCAGGCTGTAAACATGTTCATTTCTGTTGAAAAGTTAGCATTTAAGATGGGAGTCAATGGGGTCTGACTTACAGTACTTTTGGAGCCAGGAACTGCAGATTTCGGCGGTGGTATAATTTTTCTGCCCCGGAAAAAAATGTAAGAGAAAGTTGCTGCATCCGGCCCAATATTATTACTACATTAATAAGCAGACATAGAAGACAGAATAGGAAGAGCACATGACCAAAGCTGTGCAGACAAAAAAGATAAAAAGAAAATATTAAAATGCTGATTAAAGATATAGAAGAAGTGTCCTTTAATTGGTGTCAGCTGTATTCCTCACAAGGTCTCCCAACATGCTTCAGAAGCAGATTGACCATATCCGCCCACAAAGGTTTTAACTTAGAAGCACATGAAAGAGAGGACCAAAGGTTTTAAATAAAAGGGCAGAGTGTGCATGTGACTAAAATAACCTAATGATTCTCATATGTCATCATTTAGTGCTGCTCAGCAGGAATATAAAAACAGTTTGACAGAGCACCAATCAGACACTGATTTTAGAGTTGATTTAGAGCGAGATGAGTTTTCTTTTTAGCTCACATCCCTGATCTTTTGTCTCATGTTGTCACAATCTACCCTTTTTCTCACTCTCCCTCCATTGTTCTATTCAGGGTTGTGTGCTCTGTGTTAATGTGTACTACTCTTTTTTCCATGACTTCACATGTAAAAACACACAGAGCAGCTGTGAAAGTTATGTGAGAATGCATGCACGTGTATGCACTGTGTGTGTGTGTGTGTGTGTGTGTGTGTGTGTGTGTGTGTGTGCTTGTGTGGAGCTTAATCCCAACCACAAGTGTTACGCTGAGACCCAGAGACCCCATCCACTTTTGTAGTGCACACCTTGTGCAAACAGCACAAAATGAAAACCTGCTGGAAAGTATCGGACTGGTTTATTGTACTTCTTTGATATCACAACACTATATATTGTACAACAGGGAGAGAGGATGAGGCTGCAAGGGAGGAGACATAAGGTCTTAACAAGAGAAACAGCAAAGATCATATAGCAACAAAAATATTTCTGATTATATCTTCTGGATGTGTTCTTTTGGATAGAATTTTACTACAAATATTAGCAAAGTTTCTCTTTATATTTACTCTTTGAATTACTTAAGAAATTAGAAATGTGTATGATTGTGTGATGCAGAAGTCTGGAACCAGGCTAATGCTAATTTCTTATTTTGAGCATATATACTGCATGCTGATAATCTGTTTTGCACAATAACACAATAATAACTCTCGCATGAAACCTTCCTAAGCACTT